CCCCCCCCCCTTAAGACCCCCTTAAAGGGGCGACCCTTAAGCCCCCCCTTGAAGCCCCCCTTAAGCCCCCCTTGAAGCCCCCCTTAAGCCCCCCTTTCGCTGAAGGTCTGGGGCCCAGCCCCGAGGCAACCTGGCAGACAATTGAGACCAAGAGAAGGCAATCCGGAAAGTGAAAAGGCTGTCGGCCGTTGGAAGCCGAGGCGGCAGTCTGACTAGACTGGAAGACTACCCCTGCACTGGCTGGCGTTTTTTGCTGACGAGAGGCCAGTGCCAGAGCCGATACACTGCAATGTGTGTAGATTCACAAGTCTACCAAAACATACACAAAAATAACGTGTAACACTTTGAAATTCTGTCGTTTACAGCTTGAAACAACCTGCTAGAAGCGAACAAAGCCGTGAAGACCTCCCAAGATAAAAACGAGAAGGTTGCTCGCCTTTGACGATAGCAGACTTCTCTCTTTCCAGATAATGGTGCTCCAGCGAAACGAATGTCTGCGAAAGTTATTGAAAGACGCAATTTGTACTTCCAAGATGTGCGTGGTGTGCTCAGAACTGACTTTTAAACTCTGAGCAGGTGGAAGTCACCTTCCATTTGAAAGAGCCACCAAGAAGAATTCCAACATCCAAAGCATGCTCCAGCTGAATTGAAGCGTCCCTTCAAAAGTTTAGATGGAGCAAAAGGCTAGAAGTCGAAAGTCCAGACATCCAGCCGGGTTTGAAAATTTGAATAACACTGAAGCTGCCAAGAATGGCTTCAGTTTGGAAGCAGTTTTAAAAGGTTTCGAACTTGATCAAATTTCAAACGGATGGAAACAGTGGAATGCAAGGTTCAGCTGCGAACCTCGATCAATCCAAAGCTGATCTTGGTCGCATTTGAAGTTTGGGTTGCTACCAACCGTTTGGCTCAATCCACTGCCAGATTTAACATGCTTTGTTGCTTTGATGGTTGCATCTGCAGGATCCTTTGAGAGATTCAGTGTCGGATCCAATACCGCGGCGTGGCCGTCTAAGAATCCAAATTGCTGCTTAGACAACTTGACTGACAGAACAGAACAGTTTCTCGAGACAATGTTCAGCGGTTTCTGTTTTCTCTCCGCTTGGCCACGTCTAGCCAATTTTTTTTGTTTTTCAATGGCTTTTACTTTCTGTTCCTTTTGTTGTTACTATGTTTCGTCCCACTGTTCTTTGCTTTTCTTTGCTTGTTGCTTTTTCGTCGTTTGTTTTGTTGTTTTTTGCTTTTTGCTTCGCTGCGCTTTGCTATTTGTTACTTTGCTTGTTGTTTTATGTTTTATGTCTTTTCTTCACGCTCCGCCTTTTGATTTGCTTGTTGTTTGTTGTGTTCGTTTGGGGAGTTTTTTTTTCGCTTTTTTTGGCTTTATTTCATCGAACACAGGGAAACTGGTATTTTCCTGAGCTTCCTTTTTCCTCTTTATTTTCCGTGAAGTCTTTAGACAGAGCCCAAGGAAGAAAGAAAGAAAGGAAGGAAGGAAAGAAAGAAGGAAAGGAAAAAAGACAGGAAGGAAGAAAGAAAGAAAGGAAGGAAGGAAGGAAGGAAAAAGGACGAAATAAAAGGAAGCAAGACAGGAAGAAAGAATGAAAGACAGAACACGAAAACAACAATAAACAAGGGAATCAACCCCATACCCTTGCTTATAGGGATCCGAAGTATGGACTTTTCTTATGTAAAAATGTATATAGTTATATACACAGCTTATTCGAAATTGCTAGGAACGTACATTGCAAACTAAAGCATTGTTTGAATTTTTCTTGGGAGGGGTATTACTTTTTTTTTAAGTTCAGGATTCGCTCTATATTTTTTATAGGAAAACTTCTATTCTCTTTTGATTTGGATTAGGAAAACTTCTATTTCTGTACATTCAAATAAACAAACCTGTATGTTCTGTAGATTTTAAAAGGAAAACCATCGGAAAACTTCTATTTTCTGCATATATTAACATGAAAACTTATTTTTTCCTCTGGAATTTAAGAAGAAAGCTTTTATTTTTTGTATATAATTCTAGGAAACCCTTTATTTTCTATTTATTTTAATGTTTCAGCTTTGTGGCTTCGTGGAAGCGGCTGTCTTGCAAACGAATCCCTTCCAAACCCATGATGCGAGTATTGTGTTTGAAAATGAAGGGGGCGCCCCCCCAACCCCTCCCCCCCCGTTTTTTTAAAGCCGAGCAAGCTTGCTTCAAAGCATACGAACCCTTCCAAACCCATGATGCGAGCATTGTGTTTGCACATGGGGGTCGCTGCGCCCCCGCCAACCCTCCCGCTTTTTTGGTGAAGCCAGGCAAGCTTGCTTCTGAGCATACGAATACCTTCCACACCCATGATGCGAGCACTGTGCTTGCAAATGGGGAAACGAGTCCCTTTCAAGCCCAGGATGCTCCTTCGTTTGGTGCTTCCGGTTCATCATACATCCTAAACAGGCACCTCATTTGCAAAAACAATTGAAATTTAAAACACAACCAACAACGCGAACAATTTTCACACATCCAAATTTTTTTTGGCAATTCCCGTTCATTACCAGAAGCAAGAAACCAGAGGACCAGAGGAGCGCGGAATTCGGAGACCACGGAACCCGGGAATCACGAAAAACAATCTGTCAGACCTCTGCTCAGACCTTAGGGTCGCTGTCAGTTGGAGCGAATTGAGCTTTTCAGTCCCGTCCTCAATGCTTCGTGTTGCAACACCTTGGTTCCGAGTACACTGGATGACATCCGATCGTCATCCTGGGGCGAGGGACAGGCCTCTCCTCGCATCCGCTTCGAGAAGGGTCAGTGGGGCTGTCGTTGAGAAGGGATTGGTGCTTTCGGCATCGTCTTCTAGAAGTTTCATCTGCATGGCATGTGTGGGCTGTGGGGTCCGAAACATAGCGTGTTGTGCAGACTTGCTCGCCTTCCTCAACACCATTTCCAAAACCCCAAAACTTTGAGCTTTATGCCTTCCGGGCAATAAAGCTTACGCAACCGCCTCCAGGGTACAAGCCCTGTTACGGACCACACGAATTGTTCCCGGGATGCTTGCGGGGGCGGGGGGGGGTTGTAAGGGCGAAGCGAATTGGGTCAGCTGAGCGCTTGGTCATTCGGACCCCGGACCGCAGTTCGCTGTCATGTTTTTCACTCTTGTCAGTCATGTCAGCACTTCTGCTTACAGTCATGCCAGACATGTCAGTGCTTGCTATTTTCAGCCGGCCATTTTTGGGCCTTAGCAAGATTTTCAGTGTGGCACACTTTCGATTTTTTTTATTGATCCTCAGTTTTCAGATATATTCCCTTTTGAAACTTTGCATGTCTCACGGCATGCTTCGGAGAAGCATCAACAGATGTGAAGGCAGAACCATGTTTCAATATTTGTCGTATTGTGGATCAATCGGGAAGGGGATGTTCGTTTATTTTAGTGTTCCATCCGACCCACCCTGTTGTTTTACAGGCGTTCTGTTCAGATCTGTTCAAAACAGTCCATACATTGGATTGGTGCTGTCGGCGCATCGTCCTCTAGAAATTTCATCTGCGTGACATGTGTGAGCTGTGATTCCAGAAATCAGAAACACAGTACACGGTGCCAAACCTTAGTCCATGTCTAGCCGCTATATGCACGCCGCGCACCCACACCACAGGAGCAGAGCATGCTTTATCGGGGAGGCGGATTGGAGCCCGCACATAGATGGAGTATCCCGCAATCGTCTGATGTCTTACAACACGGTACTGCGAAGGTCGCACCGCTGAGCACCTAGTAATTTGCGTTGTCGTTATTTATCACGTTTCCGTTTCGGCTCAATTGCAGGCCCAGCTCGTTTGTCAGTTCAAGACCCATGTGTGATTCGCCTTGTACTGTTGAAGTTCTCCAGTAAATTGATGGGTTCGATCAAAGTCTGGTTGAATAACCGACATTGTTGCAGACACATCATCCACAAAACATGGCTCTCTTCCGTGCGGGCTTTGCCTGCAGGGCCATGATTCGATCCAAGCGTTCACCGATGCTTGGAAGAATCTCCCAGATCGCTACGTCACACGAGGCTGAACGGCCAACGCCGCTGCAGATGCGGAGGCTCTTCGTCATCTCAGCAGTTCCATTTGTGGCATTTGGGATCGTGGATCAAAGCGTTTTGCTTTATGCGGGTGATGCAATCGACAACACTTTGGGAGTTGCGCTGGGCCTTCCAACCCTCGCCGCTGCAGCTATGGGCCAAGTCATGAGCGATACCTGTGGGGTTGCCTTTGGTGGCACCATCGAAGCAGCAGCTTTGAAGCTTGGGTTGCCGTTGCCGGGTCTCACAGAAGCGCAACAGCGCTTAGGAAGTGTCAAGCGGGTATCAACTTTTGGTGGTGTTTGTGGGGTAATCTTGGGCTGCTTTATAGGCATGGGAAATTTGTTGCTGATCGACCTCAAGGCGGCAGAACGTGCAAAGAAGGAAAAGGAACTTGCCAAGATCATGAAGACCATCATGGAGGATGGTCGTGCAGTGTTGCACTGTGACAGAGCAACGCTCTGGGCAGTCGAAGAAGAGGTCGGTGAACTGTGGAGTACGTTTGCAGACGGCATCCAGGGCACGATGCGCATCCCGAAGTCGGAATCAAGTTTGGCGGGATGGGCCGCTTGTAACAAAGAGTTGGTGAACATTCCGGATGTGACACAAGATCCCAGGTGGACCAAACCGTCGAAAACGAATTACGCCGCAAAATCAATGTTATGTGCACCAGTGGTTTTGGAGGATAAAGTAATCGCTGTCATTCAGCTTCTCAACAAGCTGAACGAAAAAGGAGATGTAGTTCCATTTGATCAATCTGATGCCAGGGCCGTCAAGATGATGGCTGGTCACACTGCTATGTTCATGGCGCAGCTGATGTAGCACTTGTTGCTCATCATGTTCCGAGATGCGCGATCTTATTTATTGTTGTTTCCGGTTGGGAAGCGTAGAATCGGTTAATTGACAGGCTTTTCCAGCCACAAAAATGTGGTAGCCTGAGCCAACGAGGATCAATTCGACGCTGCCGAGGAAGAGTGCCTGCAGTGGCTTTAGAATAGTCAAGGTATCGTCCAGGCCTGCAGATTGCGACGGCATCACAGGTTCATGCTGTTTATACAGATGATTGTCGAGCTGCATTGGGCCCATCAGCTCGGTGTTGCCGTCAGCAAAATGTTGCTGCTGCTTCAGCTTCACACTAAGCACTAAACCTGGGTCATGATTCTGCATGAAGTTGGGATGAATCAAGAGCTACTGCCTGCGTCCAGCTGCCAGTGTTAAAAGCCTCATTCGTGTCAAATACTCAAATAGTCATGTGCCTGCTGCAAGTTGACACTTCTCGTTTTTCGTCGTTTCTGAGTAGAAATGTAATATAACTGTGCCACGATGCTTTGTCATCGAGCTGCGTCATACCGTTTGACCCATGCCTGATGCTAAGCTCCACAACGTACTGATTCATGTCTTCAGGGTAGACGCAGCTTCTGAGCTGGTGGGTGAATCTTTCCAACATGAGGTCGTTTGTGCTTCCGGTCCTACGACAAGGTCCGCCGAAGAGACTCCAACGAGCAATTTTTTGGGTTTCGACTTGGGCAACATCCTGCTCAAAATGAACATGTTCCAGGCAAGTGCGGTGGCGACAGTGGCTGTTCCCACAAGCTACAAAGGCAACATTGGGATGCCGGACAGACTTGCAAATTGTGGTGTTTGCCTTTTGTATTGGGCCTCGCTCGTCTCCCATGACCGTGACGAGGGCTGGCGGCCTGAACGGTTTGAACATGAAGGCCAAGCACTCCAGTTTGCAAGACAGTCCCAACCTTAGTTGCTGAAGCAGCTCCTTGCACTTCTTTCGTTTCCAGTCGGTGAAGTGACCCTTAGGTCAAAGCGCATACCCATCTGGAAGCTGGGATGGGCCCTGGCCTAACAGCAGGTGTTCTTGTGACAGACACGTCGAAGAACAACAGCTGCAGGCATGTGTGACTTCATGATGTCTTGGCTTCCAGGGTGATCCAGTATGCGTTTCACCCTCTTCAGTCTGGAATGAAGCCATTGTCGTGCTAGCTGCTAGCCGGCCGAAGAAGGCTGTGACTGCATTTTGCCATTTTGAAACCATTGCCCTCGATGTTTCGGCTTACGTTTCTGTTCTACAGGAATGGCAGCTCGGACCGACCCGTTCCTCACAGATGTCGAGGCCGCATCCCCGTTTGAGGATGCTGCTGCCCACATTGATCCCCTTGATCCACACCTCGTCGTTTCTAGTTGTTGCAATTATTGTGGTCTCGAGCCTCACCGAAGAATGGGTGCAACATGGTACAGCCGCGCGGTTTTGGTGCCTCCACCAGCAAGCTGCAGCGGGTTCCAACCAGGTTCCGGACTACAAGGCTACGGCATCACAGGTCGAAGCAGCCCGTCGCGAGCACATGGCAGATGGCTTAGCATTTGCACAGGATGGAGGAAGCAGGGCATGGCGCTGTTCCTCAGGTGAGCCAGGAGGTCGCCGTGCTTATCTTTGTGCCATGGTCATGCTATGCCTGAACCTTGGTAGGATTGAATTGTTTCAGTACCAGTGATGTTTGGGTTTTGCGCAGCCTGCTTAGTGATACACGGAGGTTTTCATGGTGCTCGCCTTTGCCTTGCCCCCGTCAGGCCATTGCCTTGTGTGTGACTGCATCGTTGTCTTGGCATGGAACGTTGACATGTTCGCAGTACTGCAGCAGTCCAAGATAGTCCACCATTGACGGATTCGAACATGACAAGACGAGAAAACCACGAGATGAAGTCGAGAAAGCCAGACAGGCCAAGGGGCCGCAGTACACAGAGACCCATCCTTTGGTCGTCAGCAGCTGGAGCAGCATGCCCTATTCGGGAGAAAGTGCCGTGGCCACGAGCGAAGAAACGTCCAACCCATCTGCCCACAACTTCAGTCAAGGGAGAACAGCGCCAAGGTTTGCAAGAAGAACTTAACCAGGGAGCGAAACCACGACCTCCTTGAGTCCCTCAAGTTTCAGAGCTGGTTTGTGTTGCACATGGTCAATCAGGCATACCTGTCGAGAGTCAGACAGTCAGACACACCCCTCGAACTCTTTCAAGCACTCGTGCGTAAACCTCGGAAGCGCATGCTCGGTTTGGTCTCGACGGGGCAGAATCATATTGTCGTTGATGATCTTGACTCAGATCCGGACAATGCAGAGGCTTTTCTAAGTCTGCCGCTGCCGCCGATAGAAAAAGTTTCAATGCTGCTGGTAGTGGAGCTGACTATCAACAATGGATTGGCAGGAATCCTGTGGAGCCTGTTGGCCGGCGTATCCTGGCTTGCCAGCCTGCTGGTGGCACGTGCGGTGCTTGGAATGCTAGTGCTAGAAAGATGTGCAGAGGTCCAAACTTGTCAGGATGCCGCAGGACACCCCGTAAGCTGGTTGCACGAACATGTGCCCACACATGGTAGCAGCTCAGGCCAAGCCTACGAGAGACATCTCCGAGGTGCCAGCCCAGTTTACAAGCTGCTGGCCCTGATGGTGCCTTAGAATCCCATTACTTGCAGCATAAGTCTTCCAACAAGGTAGCTAGTGTGTGGATCCCAGGTGCTGTTGAGCTGCGTGGCAGGGCCACTAGTTGGAGCTCATATCGAACAGAGGAAGATGGCCAGCTACTGGATGCACAAAACAGGTGTAACCTACCGCGACGTGGCCGGGAGCTTACACGGTTCAAGATGCCTTCGGCTCTGGCAGCAGGCTTCTGCAGTCCAGGTTCCGACCAAGCCGTCCGATGCCTACCAGGATGCAAGCATTCTGGACTTCTCGGCCGCGAGACTGCACAAGATAAGGTCATATGTCCATGCGTCCGTGCGTGTGTGTGTTGGAACCATTGAAACGGCAGCAAGATGCCAGCTTGCCCTGTGATACCACCCTCCGACCAAGGCCAGTGCGCGTTTGGACCTTCAGAGAACTCTCGGGATGCGCTCTCCGGGCTCCGGCATGACATATTGCATCGCGCCAGTGATTGCCGCTTGTCACAGGTAAGGTGGACGTGCCAAGTCGTGTCGATGGAAACTTGATGTCCCTTTCTCCTCCGTCAGGATACCTCATCGTCAACAAAGCAGGTGAACTATTTCGCTGCCGACGTGAATTGCTGTGAGCCACGTCGCAGTTTCCTTTGCGGTGATACCGCGAAGGCGGATGCCAGGACGGTGTGCATGCATGTCAACGTGCATGCTATCGATAATTATTTCAACCAAGCTGCTTATCAATCAGCAAGTCCACGGTTCCTGTCGGTTCGGTTTGTAATGAACCCAACCGTTTTATGCACCGGATGCGGTTCATGACGGTTCGGGTCGCGCAGTTCGGCTCGGCGATTCGCGTGGTTCGCGCGGTTATCTATTGGCTTTACTACCGAGGCCCAAGTTTAATCCCTTGCATCCGGGAAGGAGGGAGATATGTTTCCGAGACTGTTTTATTCGCATATTGCTTGCAGCTAGGGAGCGAGGAGAGTTTATCATTCAGGCCGTCCAAAATTCATGCTGTTTGCGGCTAGGAGGGAGGGGACAGAGTGTTTTTGAAGCCTTCCTGCCGCCGGGAGTGTTGAGGCCTTTCGGCCTTATTTGGGCGGGGGGAAGTCCGGGTTTCCGATGACTTCCTCGCTTCGATGTGTTATGGGCATCATGGACTGGTTTTGCAGATGGAACCGTACCCGTTTCGGTTTTTTGCGTTTCCTAGCCGGTTCGGCTCTTGTGCGGTTCGGTTCTTGCGCGGTTCGGTTCCTGTGGTTCCGGTTTCCCGCTTCGCGGTTCGGTTCCCCGGCCTTCCTTCAAGCCCGACATCGGGCGAGGACTGGGGTGGTTTTGCCCGCGAAATCTTCTCAGCATGCTGCAGACAGGCCGTGTCGGGAGGGCGAAACAGCGAGGCTTCCCGTGCGGGTGCGGCATGTGGAGTAGAACATAGGTGGCAGCACTTCTTCAAGGCCGCCCAGCAGGCTGCGGAGGCTTGGTCTCTTACTTCTTCTAGCCCTTCTCAGTACAAGAAGACAGTGTAGCTAGATGGGAGAGGTCTATGGCTGGGATCTGCCCGATCGACCTATATTCGTGCGTTGGTTTGAAGATGCCGAAGGTGCCCGGATCTCAGGCTCGAGTGAGGTGAAGATGGTTAAACAGCAGGTTTGGGAAGTCTAAAAGCCTAGCTGCTAAGGTTCAGTCAGAGCTTCTACACCAGGGTTTGGTGGAGGCCAGACCTGCCGCTTGTGTCCAGAGAAAGCCACTTGTAAGCCCAATGAGCCCCGGACAGACCTTCGTCCAGTGCTTTGCGGGGCTGTGCGCCGCGGTGATTGTGGCAATGCTGCTCGCCACCAGAACGCTTCATCTCGCATTCGGCTAGGAGTATCGGTCGACTGCTATCTTATCCACTCTACACACAACCTTACACGTTCCATGGTACTCGTAGCACTGCTTGCACATGTTCTGCCATCCTCGTCAAGGTGGCTGCACTGGTCCTTGTCCTACTATGTGCAGGACAAGAGAGCTGATCGCAGCAAGATGAAGCGTTGAGACTGTGCAGTGGCAATTGCCACCTGTGACGGTAGATATACTCGCAGCTAGAGCAAGCGCGAGTCTTCCGCGTCACGCCGTCTTGGCGGGAAAATCATTTCGTCTCGTTGGTGTTGGTGAATGCATTCTAACATCATCTAACTCTCTTGCCTTGGAGCTTTTTCGAGGCTACGTCCATCTCAAGGAGCTATTTGGAGAAGGCGAGAGACTGAAGGGCCATGAAGGAAAAGCAGGGAGAGCAGCCGAGGTGGAGCAGGGCGAAGCCAGGCTCCTGCCCGAGTGCCGTGAGGAGTCGCAGGGATGTGCAGGGATGTCATGAGGCAGAAGACACTGTGACACTCTCCTCGAAGGAGCTGGAGCGTGTGCTCGGGGTGCCGTTGAAGCGGCGGCGCAAATCTCGATTAGCCACTTGGGATGTCAGCTTGGAGCTTCGGGGGCCCCGAAAATCCACGGAGCAGTGCGCGAGAGTTGCAGCAGCAGTCACGTCTACATGAACTCGTAGCCGAGGACAGAACGCCTTGACAACCGTGTGGAGCCACGCCAAGAAGCGAAGTCTCATCGACAAAAAGCCAACACTGGCTTCACCTAAGTGTGCAGCAGCACTTGATCTGAATTGCATGCCGCATGCCGGGCGACGCATGTACGAAGGCCTCATGCTAGCATCGTTTCGTTGCACCTCGATCCTTGTTCCTGCTGCTTTGCTGTTTCAAGCTGCGGGGCGCAGTGGTTCCCATCGCAGCTGCGTGGTCCTCGATCGTGAAGGCCGAATTGTGCAATAACTAGTGTCATGTGTGATCGCATCTGAGGCTCTATGTGCGCCTGAGAAGCGGAAGCCCCAAAGCTTCTCGCGCAACCTTCGCTTAAAGTAGCAGCTAGGAAAGCCGGTGTGGTGTCAGGCTGGTGAGGCTCCAGTGAATGCTAGAAGCTGCAATGCTCGACGTGCTTTGTAAAATCTGGAAGCAACCTCATCAGCTACACTACCCGGCAGGGAGTAGTTCGCACTGTCGTCAGATCCCTCGGTAGTCTACGACATTCTCGTCGGGGGAACTGACGACTCTGCTTTGGCAGACTGATAAAGATGTACCGCCGCCGTGTTTTGGGAGCTACACTCAGCGAGGCGGGGTTGTTGCGCATCAACGAATGTTCACAAGCAGAGCAGCAGAGTTGAATTTGAGAGCAGGCGGGGTGCCAAGAACCCCACAGCTCGCACAGCTCACAATCTCGCGATGGACATGAGGAGTCGGAGAAGAAGGCCTGCAACCGATGCCTTGTGCATGCGTGCATGCCGCACATGGGTCGAAGCAAGGCCTTTTATGATGGTTGCCCGACCAATGCGCAGGGCACCGGAGGAGGTGTGGGGAAAGGGTTTCTTTTTCCTGGTGCTGGTGCTCCGGCCTCGCCATGCCTCGCCAAGGATCCCCGAGCAGCACTTGGAGCCGATGCTCGAGGGCGTCCTGGAGCTTCGGGCCACTCGGCTTCCCTTCGAAATTGCCGGCCCTGCTGCCCTGCTCCCTTTTTTCCCTGTGAGGTGCGGCACGGACCGCTGCACTCAGCCAGGCCGCCACATGCAAAGCTTGAAAGTCTCCGTCGGCTTGGCATGACATGGGTCTCCATGCAGGGGCGGCAAAGACACAGCGAAAGCAAGCTCGAAGGAGACCCTGCAGCTTAAGCCAATAAGCTATAGGGTGCATAAGGGGCTGACCTGAACGTGAGCTTCTTGCAAAACGAGCAATGTAAAAACATCGGAGGGTCTGCTTCAGGATCTTGAGGTCGAAGTTACGCTGCCTTCGTGAGGATGCTACATCGCTTGCACCGCTGCATGGCCCGATCTGGCCCCGAGCTGAAAGAACAGTATGTTCACCAGAATGACTACCGACTTGATCCTTGCTGACCTCGATCGAACATGAACAACACATGAGGAGCTGCAGCTCATGTCGGTTCTTCTGCCCTGTTCCACATCATGGGATCAAAATCTCTAAGTCTCTAAGGTGTAGTGGCATTCTCTTTTTCGGCATCGGCTCTTCAGAGAAGGATGGATTCTTTCGCGAAGCTGGACGAGGCACAGAAACCACGTGAGCCTTTGTCTGCAAAATCCTAATGCGGCTGCAGGTTTCGAAGTTCAAGAGTCGTCGTGCTGCAGAACGATCGTTGGGAGCAGGCAGCAGCGATAAAGGAGCACACTCCTGGAGTCTACTACTGTAATATCGAGGCTTGGGCTTCTCTGTGTGAGTCAGGCAGCTCTCTGTCTTCAGCATGCAGGCACGTTGGAATGTTCCATGCGGTCGCATCGCAGTGCTGTTAGACAGCTTTTGACTGGGAGTTGCCGAGGGTTGTGGGGAACTTGCAGCCTTGCAGCAGGTACGTGTCCTGCTGCATTCGCTCTCCGCTCAGAACTTCGAAACGAGGGAACCGAGGGAGCGACGGAGCTCTCGAGAAAGTTTGGGCACATCGCCTTTTGGGGTTTCTGCTTCTGCAAGTCTCCCTGGCACGGTCGCCCGCAAAATTCAATACCTAGCGGACCTAGCAGAGGTAGAGGCCAAGGATTGTAGGTATCATAAGACTCAATGTCAACATCGAATCCGCATCTGTCAAGGCTCGTACCTGGTGCACTTGGCAGCTCTCCTGTCAGTCCTCATGCAAACGGTCCAGGAGGCTTCTCGCAGTCTTGCTTCGATGCAGTACATGGATCCAAACTGCTTGGCTCCAAGGCGATCGGAGAATCACCTTTGCGACGTTCGCTGTCTGCAGCTGCCAGTCCAGTCCTCAGCATGGAACAGTTTACTGTGTGCGATAGTGGAAGATACTGTACAAAGATCTGGCTAAATGTCTGGAGCGGAGTTTGGGCAGCTTGGGTTGGCTTCGCTTGCCGAAGGCTAGCTGCGTCGGGTGAGAACATTCGATTCCGCATTCGTAGGGCCATGAGAGAGGCGAAGTTGCGGTGCTAAACAGCCACGTGCAGAGATAGCACCGCTGGGGGCTGCCCATGAAAATGCTGACGGTGTCAGATTGCACGGCATGAAGTTCAACGACACGATAAGGCAACATGCGTGACCGTACTGTTCAACAGGAGGGACCGGTCTCAGAGCACTCACGGGCTCGAGAACAAGGAACCCCCAAAATAGTATTGGGTGATTCTTAAATTTTTAAGGTCCCTATATTAGGGTGGTCGGTGGAGGGGCAGCAGAGTTGTGACTTTCAGGCCTTCCGAGGACGATTCAATGGCGTTAACCGATGATGGGTTTGGGTTTAGGGTTTAGAGGGGTTTTGAATTTTGGGGTTTAGGGTCTAAAGGGGTTTTGAGTTTTATAGTTTAGGGTGTTAGGGTTTATAGGGGTGTTTGAATTTTAGGGTTTGGGGTTTTTAGGGTTGAGGGCTTTCAGTAGTATACGGTCTCGACGTGAACTCTGAGACTTCGGTCGCAAGGTGAAGACCTCGAGGAAGCACCCCTTGGTCTGTTTTGGGCCACAGTCCCAGCATGGGGTCGTCCGGAATGCATCCTTTTGCGGCAGGGACTAGGATCTGCAGCGCTGAATCACAGCGATACCACGGCGCTAAGGCAATCAACGTCTTGATCCTTTGCAGCCTCGCATGTGGAGTCCTTGTGATGTCCAGCTTTGCTGCTCAAGCATTGGCCTCAGAACTGGGCGATGGGCGGAATTTAAAGTGCGGGCTGCAATTTGCCTCCGCAAGGTCTTCCGTGACGACACGATGACCGAGGTCACCGAGGCTGGGCAGCGGATGGCGGCGGCATCTTTGCTCTGGAAGGGAAACTCAACACGATTCAGGAGGTGATTTCCCCGGAAGTGGCAGAGCCAGTGGAGACTGCATCGGGACTCTCGAGGATGGTGAGGCAAGGTGAACCGATTCGTGAGCTGCGTGAACTTGAAGTTCTTCGGGCAGGCTCCTGGCCCGCATCATGGTAGTGGCTCTCGTGCCTTGGATGCAGACCTTGTTCCATCTCGTTCAAAGAAGACCTTCAGAAAGCCAAGACATTGGAACATTGCTCAAGTGTCAAAGTCAGCATGCAGGTGTCGTTTACATCTGGCCGCACGCTCGGGGAGAACAAGTCCTTCCGAAGTTGTTCAGAGTGAGATGCGTAGACTCACAGCCTAAAGCTGAGGAATGGGGCTTCGAATCATCCATCCACTCCAGTCTGCCATGCTCTGTGGCTTATGAGTTCAATCGATTCGCAGATTACATGCAGTGCCGTTGAACACGGGCATCATGCTGGTGCATGTCCTTTGGAGGACAGCACTGGAACAAGTGCCGTTCGAGTGCCATGTGCCTCATTGATGCCATCATCAGTGCCGCACCGGCCTGCGGATCTCGAGTGGGGACCGTGCCGGATGGATTGCCTAGGGTTCGACTGCATGCTCGGTGATTTGTAACTCCAGAGTCTCTGTAGCTACTTGTACCACGTATCCTCCTACCCGGGCAAGCAAGCACGGCCTTGCCGAGACGGGGCTGATTCGGCGGAGAGGTAGCACGAACAGCTGGGAGAGAGCAGCTTCACATGAGCAGTGGTTCGGGCTTGTTTCTTTCTGGACTGCTATCCTCTCACTGAGCGAAGAATGAAATTGCTGGGCGGCCACTTCTTAGTCCTAATTCTGGTAATTCTAGAAATCAGTCTTGGTCCAATTGGTAGATAGGTTCTGTTTGCGGTGCTCGCATCCCGAAGGCCGTGCCCAGGTGTGTCTTTAGCTTTCTCTTGCCTCCTCAAGTGTGATTTCTGAGGAGTACTGCAAGAACTTGTTTGTGATCAAGGGTGGGATGTCAACCTGAGTCAAAGGAGTTGATGAGTGACGATCTTAATCCTTCGAAGGCCAAACAAAGGATGATTTCGGTACCCTTTGGTTTGGGTTCCCGTCCCATCCTCCTAACGCCTGGCCGCGACCTCGTGGAGTGTCGAGGCCGACCTAGTGTGCGGCTTGGCTGTTGGCTTGCATGCCGTTAATGTTGTGCCACGGGCAGCGCTGATGCTTTCAGCTACTCCCAGAGACTTTCCAATACGCTCAGAGTATTAGCGATACATCCGTCAGTGAGAAGCTGAAAATCATCGCGGACGGGACTTTCCCAAAGAGCCTGGAGACCTCTTCAGGAACGGTATCTCCTGTCTGCTGCACATGGCAACGCCCCCTTCGCGTTTTACTCGGGAAGTACTGATGGTATTTCATGCAATTCCACACCTGTTGACTTGTAGAAGTGTAGATGCTGCTGTTTCCGTCTCCTGCCTGGTGTTCCAGCAGTGGGACACTCGTGTGACCTGCATGCATTCGCGATGCTTCGCTTCGATCTGCACAGTTGTACAACGCTCATCGTTCATTGGAAATCTGCTTAAGGCAAAGCGAAGAGCGCTTCCAAGCTACTGTGCCAAGCTTCAGGGCTTGGCTTGTACAGGGACCTGCGATGAACTGAAGCAGATTATGCGGACACCTTTGCCGCAGATTTGGTCAAAAAGTCAGGCACAAGACGGTTTTCCTTCCACCTTTTGACACAGAGCACCTAGCATCGTGCGATTCTAATTCTGATGCGCTGCGTGGTCTCATATGAAGGAGTGTATGCTGCAGCATTGCCCACATCCACAGCCCACAAACCCCAACACAGAGAATGGTTCTTGCCTGTCTCCTGCTCGGGCGTGGCCGAAGATCAAACGCCTGCCATGAACCATGGAATTCTGGTTCAAGACAGTCTCACATTCACCGAGAGTGGGTTTGGGATTGTTCCTCCGAGGCTGGTGGGGGTCTTGCCCAAATCATGATCCACCACATGTTCTTGTCGATGGAAGGGCCACGCGTCGGATCCCGATTAACGAAGATTGTGAGGCTCGGATCTGGTCAGTCAAGCAGTCTATACTTCCTTGAAAACCAGGAGAATGAAGTTGGTCCTTGCAGCAGTTCTTGGAGCTGCCTCCGCCAGCAAGCTGAGGTGTCGTCTCGGTGACGCTGAGTATTGGTCATGCGATCTGCAGTTTGTGAGAGTTGACTTGCCTTAAAGCTGAGTCGCAAGTCATGGAGTCCCTAATTGCCCCGAAGCCCACAGTCTCGAAGGCTTGGCACGGAACGTACAGCGGAGATTGAAGGTGTGAGCCTCGAGACTGCATATGCCCGGTGCTCAGCTGCGGGCGGGCTAAGTGAAGTGTGAAGAGGTTTGGCCAAGCTGGAGTTGATAGAGCTGTGCCGAGGCAGCCTTCTTGGAGCGTCATGGTGCCTGGAAGCATTTGTTTTTCCGTGAGCGGTGATCAAGAAGTGTCTGTTATTCTGTATGGGGGCATCGGTGTAGAACCCAAGATAGTTGCCGTGCGCCTAGGTGTGCAGCGGCTGGGCGACACCGTCGCGAGATCAGAGCGGATGGCAGCATTTGCTCGAAGCCACGCGAAGGTGACAGAGCACAACAGGAAATCCGATCGCATCTTGAGCTCCAGTTAGTCGTGTGCAAACTCACGAAAACAACGGACTCAGCTGTGGTGGTAAAGCTGACTGTGTTCCGGTGATGCACTGTTTTCGTCAGCTGCGGAAGTCAGGCACGTGGACCGCTGGCCTCAACCGCTTCTCCGTCAGAGTCTCATGTGATGCACCACCATGGCACTCGCAAACTTGCACTCAAGCCATCTGTATAATCTACCCAGGACCAGACGCACGAAGAGTTTGGTCGAGTACTTGGTTTCCGCAGAATGGGCACGTGCTTTGGCCTGATAGTCGTCTATGAGGCTATGCATGCCAGTCATGTTTCCTTGCGCAGTGCGCAGCTGTTCTCAGAAGCGAAGGTGGTGGAATAGCACGACTGCCACGTCGTTTATCCAGACTGATTCCGTGCAGTACGCAGGCAGTGCACGTGCCGTGAAAGTGCTCAGTGTCAGAAGAGAAGTCGTCGTCCGAAGCTTTCACGACGCGGCTGTTCTTGCCTGCTGTTCTGCAGCAGAATCCTTGGACTGGGCTTCGCAGACTCACTCGGGCAAGTGCCCGCGGCTTTCTTGGTCCCCACACTGGTTTTCGTTCGATGCAGCGAGATTGGTGCACAGGTACTTCATCGATCAAGGGGCCTGCGGATCCTGTTGGGCTGTCGCTGCTACTGGAGCTTTGGAGATGAGGGTCAGCGGTCAGCTGTTCGTAAAGCCATGAGAAGAAAAATGCGATTGCCTTGGGCCTTCGCCAGAGGCCGAGATCGCTCACAAGAAAGCCCCGAGCATGCTATCCTACAAAGAGCTGGTGGTGCCCTGGCCGACAAAGTCATGACTTCTTGACAACGGTCTTTGATTCAGTGACTTGCCAAGGACTGTGTCGAGAATCCCCAGCACTGCGGTGGCTCGGCAGACTTCCTGTCCGTCTTTTCTGTCAAATTGGGGCTTTGTTCAGGTGGAGATGGTGGCTGCGGTGGGGCCACAGGGGAGCTGGCTTTCCAATACATCTCGCAGCACGGTCTCTCGGTGCCTTGGCTCTGGAAGATGTGGAAGTGTCGTTCATAGGGCCATAGGGTTTGAGCACTCCAAGGCAAGTGCATCATACACCGGTGACCGCGAAGCGACCGAGCGCTGCAAGACAGGCTCTCGATCAGCAGTGCCGTGGCTCAGGAACAAAGCATGCCGCTCTGTACCGAACACACGTTGAGTACTGTTGCAGTGGCTTAGAGGGTACAGTTACTTTAATCTTATTGTCGCAAAACTCAATTATCTTCGTGTTCAGTGTGTTTCGTGACGTCCAAGGTGGTCAAAGCCAACAGTTGCTTTGCTGCGATCATTGTGAGAGCCTTAAGTGCTCCGTGCCGTTCTCTGCTGCCAGGTTTCGTGAAGCTTCCGGTGAACAAGCTAAGCCCGCTCATGATGGCAATTCAGCACGCGGGAGACGCAGTTGGATGGCCACCCATCCGTTTCCAAGCAATGTTTTCGTCGCAATGCAAGTGGTTCTAAGGGACCAGTCGTCGTGTCCGTGGATGGTGGACCTTGGGGAAGCTATGAGTCCGGAGTGTTCAACGGCTGTCGCAGGCTCGATGGGTACCTTGACATGGCAGACTCTGAACGACGAAAATCTGCGATCTCAGTGATGAGATTGGCCGGCCGTGTTCAGGTTTGTGACGTGTTTTGAAGTTTTCAGGGCGACGCAGTGGAACAGCGAGCCACGAGTTTCTCAATTGCGTCCCCCAGCAGATGCCATGTTTGCAGTCTCCGGGGTCACGGAGGTCCCACATGATGCGCAGTCTCTTCTAGCCAGGGTTAAGCGTGCAGGGCCAGGTGTGTGGTCACATGTGCCGTGCTCATGACATGAAACAAGCAAAACTCATTGGGGAGCCTGCTTGGACAAGCAGCATTATGGAAGATGAAGCTAGACAAGGCAGTCAGTTCTCTAAGGCCGAACCTGTGTGTTGCGAAGCTACAGTTCGGACGTGACTTTCCTGCATCCAATCATGCTTGCAGCAATGCTTTAACATTTTGCAGGGATGCCACCGTCAACCATGCAGTCCTGCTGGTTGGGTACGGCCATGATGCAACAGAGCCTCGACAGCAGCTTTGTGCTTCGACGTCTTCAGGCAGGGTATTCGGCATTCTGCAAACTTGCATTTGGCTTGCCCGCTTAGGTCAACATGGACTACTGGTTGGTCTCTTGGCCAACTTGCCATGCCTCCATTCGGTTTCGCTGATTTTGGGAACTACATTGACATAAAGCCGAGATGTGCTTTCTGCATGCTGCTTGCTGATTCTAGTGTGCATCCCATTCGCGGTACACCGGCTTCAGGTCCGCAACTCATGGGGGGAGAGCCTTTGTCGCATGTTTATTCCGAAGATATGGCTTTGCTCCTTGTTCAGACACGTGCACACAGACTCCCCTCACTGCGGCTTTACTGAAGGTGGTGGGGCGAGAATGGCTTCATCAGGATCCTGCGACATTCGTCCGACGAGGGAGATGCTGGATACTGTGGGACGGACTTTGACCCAAAGCAAGGCACGGGACGAAAAAGGAGTGACAAGTGCTGCAGCAGCAGGCAGCACTGCATGGCAGGAGTCGGATGTGACGGAGGACCAGCTACCTTGCCGGTTTGCGGCATGTGTGGAATCTTATCCGATTCAGTGTACCCTGATGGAGTGAGCTCCTTCTGAGCCATTCTGAGCCCTTAGACCGACTCCGCCTGACAGGGGCTTGTAACTTCAGCTGGGCCAACTGCAATAGCAGCGGTGACCAGTGAAGATAATCATGCGAAGCCGTGGCATCCGGTTGAACCCGTGACATTGTGTGGCCATGCCGCAAGCACATGGCATAAGCATTGGGCCTTGCCTCGATGCTGGATGCCCGGCAGCTTGACTACAAGACCTGCCTCCCGGATGGCCGAATCAAAAGCAGAGAGGAAGCTGCCATGGCTCCTCGATGTGGCCAGACCTGGGGAGGCTTTCTGAACCGACGCCGTTTCAGCTTCTGTCGCCCAGCCCAGAAGGCTTCTGCGGCATGGTGCCTCCTGGTGCAGCTTGGCGCAGCTTGAGTAGAGTCCGCAATAGTCCGCAGCAGCTGAGTCAGCCTTCGGGCCTTCGGACTAGCGTACTAAGTTGTAGGGTTCTTCTGGGACAGTGCGCTGAGTCCCAGCGAGTATGACGTGTACGCAGTGTGTTTCTCATTTGATGTCTTCATGTGATTGTAGCGTAGCAGTGCGAGTATTCAAGAACGCTGCTGCATCGTTCATTCTTTAGTCCTTGCACTCTTCCGTCTCAAAGTATGGCATCGGTCATCGGAGATTCCTTTGGACATCCTGCAGATGTAGGAGGTGACGCGATATTCCGAACCACCACATGTTTATCCAGCTTCCCCAGCAAAGTCTTACAAAGAATCCTGACTGGTAGCTACTTGGAGCATCGAATGTAACATCAACAGCCAAGGTAGATGGCGAGCTCTACTCGAGGAGGAGCTGCTGCCGGCATCCTATTCGTGGGGCTTCAGTCTCTGATGCAAGTGTTTTTCTTCGGTAGTGTCTGGAGCCTGCTTGTTGTGTGAGGGTTTTCTCGTCGCAGCTTTGAAGGTCCTGTGGCTTTGACCCGGGGGTCAAGGGGCTTTTTTTGAGCCCTGAGGCCGGGTGCAGTGGTCCTGCCGATGGCAACGACCTGGCAGAGAAGGCAGTGGAACGGCTCACCGGCTCACCTCCTCCCTCTTCCCTCTCTCCTCTCTCTCTCTCTCTTTCCATCTCTCTGTCTCTTTCTCTTGTCCATTCTCACTCTTGCTTCGCTGTGTCTTCTCTTCGCTCTCTCGCTTCTCTCTTGTTTCTCTCTCGCTCTCTCTTTCTCTTCTCTTGTGCTCTCCTTGAATTCTCTTTCTCTTTCATTCTGTCTGTCTGTCTCTCTTCATCTCTTTGTATGGCTTTCTCTCTCTTCCTTCTTTCTCTCTCGCTCTCTCTTCCTGGATCTCCTCTCTCTCTCTCTCTTCTCTCTCTCTCTCTCTCTCTCTCTCTCTCGGTCTCTCCGTCAATATCTGTGTGTCTGTCCGTCATTGTCCGTCTTTCTATCTTGCTCTCATCTCAGTAGCTGCCTCTCCCATTGTCTTCTATGCACAAGAAGTGCTGATCCTCGTGCATCAGCCCGAGGCACTGCATGCGGGCATCGAAGCCGTTTGCAATGCTATGTCCGGGGAGGTTCGTTTCACGAACGAAAACGAGGTGCCGTCGTGTTTCACTGACTCAATCGTCGAAGTGCTCGTGCGCATGTGAAGGCAGCGTTTGCTCTTCTGCGGAAGGGGTGTCGCCACTGCTGGGGCCGCACGGGCGGAGGAGAGGCCTTGAGGCGAGCCCACCAAGCTCAAGTTCGGCACAACTTTCCACACAAGTGAACATGTTGCTATGTCCAAAGCCAAGTGGGCAGGGTGTCTGGATTGCAGCACGAGCTCCTGTGTCTTTGAGGCAGGTGCCTGCGGAGAAGCAGGCCGTCGTTGTGGCCTTCCTAACTCGCATTGCGGAGATCCGGCGAGGGGCGTTGCGGCGGGTGCAGGAGCGATGCCTCCCTCTCTCTCGCTCTCCATGATTAGATAAGCCTTGCTACGTTTCATGGTTAACAGCAGCTGTGAAGCGTTTCGTCACAGACTGCAGGATTGCCGAAACATCGGTTCGCCTCACCATTAGGGTTTCGATTTGTGGCTTTGTTTGGGTGAGGTTGTATTCGTTGTGTTTCAATTACTCTTCGTATCTCTATTGGCGTTACACATTGCTCTGAGGTCCTCTCACGGTCGTGGCAGTTTCAGACTCTCAAAGGCTGTGCTCTTGAGACGTTTCGATCCCTGGGACTGAGAGGTGTCAGGGTTTAGGGTTTAGGGTCTAGAGTCTTTAAGGACTGCGTCTCGAGCACAGCTGATGAGAAGTACTAGTTTGAGACTTCTCCTGGTTACCTGACCAAAAATCACGGTGGGATTCATGTGGGTGGAGTTACCAATGTAAATAAAGCAAGATGTACATGGTATATAGACGTGTATATATATATATATATATGTAGACATATAGGTATATAGATGTATAGATGTATAGATGTCTAGATATGAAGATGTATAGATATATGGACATATATATATATATATATATACATACATATATACATATGTATAGATATATACACATACATACTTACATAGATAGGTAGATGGATAGATAGATAGAGGGAAGCACAAGGAAGGCAGGCAGTGTCACTCGAGTCGGCTCGAGGAGCTGGGAGCCATTTTGGCCAAGGCGTCGCCTTCCTGGCAGGAGCTCCTGGCAGGCTCAGCCCGGAGCCCAAGGCAGAGGGGCCTTGGGCCCTGTATGGCTCTGTAGCTTCTCAGAGCCTAGGAAGCTCTGGGTGGGCCAGATGGGCTCCTAGTCGAGGAACTGAAGGCGGGAGTCGGAGCGTGTTGCTCAGCCCGACAGTCTGTCGCCTGCCAGCTTTCGTTCGCTGCATTGGATTTCGACATCTTTGATGCTAATCGAGCCGTGGCTTGTGGACGTGCGGCCCAGCAAACCAAAACGGCTCCACCAATCAGGGCTTGAGGTTGAGATGTTGGAAGTCTAAGATGTTGCTTTCGATGTCACTGCTAAGATTCCGAAACGAAACGAGAGGCTCCACGCAGAAGGGCAGCTTCACGCCGAGGGTTTTTTTCGAGGGATTTGTTCAGCCTGCGCATCTTCTGGAACCAGCAGACGTGGCCAGAGGCTCCTGTTGAGCGATCATGCTGGGGAACGTTCACAGTCTGCCTTCGCCATACTTTTCCAATCGACGTGCCGAACTACAAGTACCGATTTCGAAAATAGTATAATATAACAACCGCATGTTCAGATCGTGTTGCACAGAGGTTGTGCAGCAGTTTCGCAAAAGCGCTTCGGACTCCCTCCTTCTGGCCAGGCGTTGGGTGTCCCTGCGACAACTGCAGGCTGGACAGCAAATCCCGGGAAGCAAACGATGGCACCATCGCTTCGCAAGGTGAGGCGAATCTATCAGCGCCTGTGTGGGGCTTGCGAAGTTGCCGCATCCAACCCGTCCTGTCCGGTTATGTCACCCGTCCTGCCTCGTTTGCATCGCGCCAGGTTGGAGCATGAAGCCAGAGTCTTCCTTCGCGAGAAGAAGTCACAAAGGCTATCATGTAGTTGCGTGAGTTTTGCAATGTTTTGCACTTTGATCTTCATGGCTGCGGTCGGTTTCCGATGGCACAGTACGCAAAACTGTAGTTCTAGCGAGCACATGTGCAAGTCCGGAGGTTAGTTCCGAGCAGCGAACTAGAACAGCCGACAGTAGCCAAGCTCATTGGAACTTCTTCAGAGAGCTGTTGCATGTATCCCGTTCATTCCGTATGTCGTCGTTCGAGCTTCGTCGAAGCAAATTTGCACGGCAGCTATCGGCAGCTGACCATTAGATGAAGCCTTTAGACGAAGCGTTAAGTATCGTCTGGCTGAGTTGACATATTCAATGCGTTCATGTCAGCCCAATGCTGATATTCCTCTTTGAAACCTTTAAGGCCGTTCGATTGAGAACAGCTTCGCGTGCATCCTTTGGTTTGAAGAAATGATCTGGAGGTACTTGTCCATAATCAGCTCATCGACTGATGCTTGCATCATGATGACCGTGCCTTGGCATTGACTGGCAAACCACCGAGGGGCAGGGGTTTCGCGAGGCAAGGAGAACAATCCGGGGACCCACGTTCGACTTTGCTCGAAGCATCCTCGCAGAAATTTGAGAGAAGTGCAGGGGTGGGACCTTAAAGAATGCTTTGCTGCGACCCTTGGCGGGGCGGTGCTTCCTACCACAAGGAGCTGCCCGTCTCGCTTTTCGTGTGCTACTTTCTCGGCAAAGGTGCGAGGGGTCTCGGTGCCTCGCAGGGCCTAGTGATCGTAGTCGTAGCCGCCCGAACTTCTTGGAGGCCTCTCGGAGGCCTGCGGCTCCTTCAGCACGGAGGTGGGAACCATCGCCCTCAGCTTGATTTTGCGTCTCCCAGACAGTCACAGGTCTCGGAGGAGACGGATGTTTCGTCTTTTTCTTCGCAGTTGTCCAAGTCAAGGCGCTTGACCCGCGGCTGCCATTGCACGGTCAGCTAATCAACGCCCTCGCAGAAGGCTGGCTGAGCTCGAAGGCGAGACTCTGGAATTTGGCTTGGCGCACGAGGCACGTGCCTCCTGCTGTCGGGTGTGTTCATTTGCGCATTCATGGCATTTTCTCCACATTGCTCCCTGCACCTTGATGCACATATGCCGGTAATCCATAAGCCCAGAGCAGCTGAGCAGCGAAAACTCAAACATCGTTTCGGCTGTCCAGGGAGTCCCGTCCTGTGGCCGCTTTCTGGGCTCCCGAAGGAGCCAAGACGCAGGGAGAGTTTGCGGTTTTTGCCTCCTCTCCGCAGCCTTTGCCGGTGTGCGATGAAGAGGCGCTGGACAGAAGTGGAGCTTTGCTGCTCCAGTCGCAGCTTTGGCAAACGTGAGCGCTGGAGCGGCACGGCCGAACTTTTAGGAGGGCTCTGCGAGTGTGGTGATGTGTGCATTACACCCACCAACTTTGCCTACTGGCACTCACGCTGCTGCACGAGGTCGTGGATCAGGTGCTTCCTTGCAGCACCAATCCAGTGGTTTGTGGCTCTGCGTGGACCCGTGCAGTCCGAACAAAGCGGGATACTGAGTGGGCCGTTTTTGCTGCTTTTGTGAGTTTGGGTGCAAGCACTGAACAACAGGTCAGCTTGAGCTCGCAAGAGCACAGTGCTTGGGAGGCTGGGGCAGGGTCTGGTTAGCAGGTACATATTTGTGGCTCATTCCAAGCTTGTCGAAGCCGTCAAAGATCCGTTTGCGCACGTAATTTAATCGAAGTCGAGGCTTCCCTTTCCAACAGGCGTGGCCACTCTGCCCGTGGTCCTTCCAGATCCCCAGATGCTGCTAGGCTCCAACCAACATGCCAAAACAGCGCGGTTAGAGCAGGGAACGACATGCGTTGGTGGCATTCCAGCGACACAGCAAGGAAAGATCACATGAAGCACACCCATGGTCCTGGGTACCTAAATCCAAGGCTCACGAAAGCAGAAAGAAGCTGCCGAGAGACAGGGTGAGCCACTTGCAGCCCCTAGTGCCATTTGAAGCCCCGTGTCCCTAGCCGGCATCGCCGCTCTCTTTCATTTAGTAAGGAACCCGCGTGCGGCCGAGAAGCCTTGAGTAAAGACAGATGTCCAATGTGTAGCTTAGTGGAGTGTGTGTTTGCAGCTTGATGGCTATCGAATTTGACCGCCCGAGAATGTCATCCATGGTCCGTATAGACATAGTATTTTATCGTGTATTATTGTATTTCGTAACTGGCTTTGGTCCCGTGTCCAGACCAGTGCCGTCTTGCCTCAAGAGTTTGCATGGCCTGCAGCAACATGTCGGCAGCATTCTTGGTCGTGCTGTTGTTCCTGCCGGCCACTGCTTCTTGCGACAAAGAGGATGTGTCTTTGGACTATGGCTCCTTGCTGCAACATCATCACCAACCCCGGACTCTTCATGGTACCTACGCCAGTGAGCTGAAGCACGTCTTCGTTCTGAGTCAAGAAGGACCCTCGGAGCAGCGTTATGTTCGCATTCGTTCCCTTGCTCAGGGTGAGCTCATCATTGTGGGTTCACGCTTTAAGGCTGCCGGGTGTAGTGCACTATGTGTGTAATGTTGCGCTATATTATATCACATTATAATATATCTATTGTGTCATAGTAGTTTGTATTGTATTACATTTCTTATGTTGCATACTATGTCATAATATTATGTTACTATCTTATGGTGTATTATACATTATACTAAGACCACCTATGTTATGTTATTCTATTTTTCATATGCTATATACGAAATTATACTATATGTTTTGCTACATATTGTATTGCATAGCATAACGTATATTCTAATGGGTCATAGCAGTTATAATGTTACATATCATATATGATAGGTTGTATTATAGATTCTGCCTTATTGGATAGTACATACACTTGGTAGCCCGGTGACTGGTCGAAGTCGGTCGTGTATGCGTCGCAGGTGAGGCGTTTTCAGTACGTAGGGTCAAGGTTGGTGGAATGGCTTGCAGTTTTCATGTGGACTCGCAGCTGGAGTTTTCCAGTTGATTTCGAGGTTTCGTCCGTTGAACTCTGGTTCTCCGCGGTCTGAGCCTCGCATGTGTTGCAGTGCGGCACTGCTGGGCCTGTTGATGTTCAGGCGAAGCGCTTCGTTCCCTGTGCAGGAGAGGTCATCGTCGATGGCAACACGACTGCCTGCAAAGCTCACTGGCCCTTGCTAGCGGATGGTTACGCAGTGGCACAGGTTCACTACGACCCTGTGAACATTCATGGCTCTGCACGCTACTTCTTGATGTCCCGCGAGGTGGCCATCGGTTGAATTTAACCGCTGCGCGGTTAGGAAAGCACTGTAAACACCGATGCGAAACCCGAATCGCAGATTTTTTGTGCAAACTGCAAAGTGCCAAACATCGAGTAACAACAGCGAGCATGTCTCCGAACAGGCGCTGCGCGAGCCTCAGCAACCCTGCCCTTGCACACACGCACGCACACCCACCATCCAAGCCGAATCACACCTCCCCTCCAAAAACCCTACCGGCATGCCCACCCCACCTACCTGCCTCCCTGCAGATCTCCCTGCCTTCAAGCCGACTCCTGACATCGAGGAAGGGGTTTCTTGCCGCAGCAGAACAACAGCACGAGCAGCGGCAACAACAACAACAACAACAACAACAACAACAACAAGAACAACAACCCACAGCAGCAGCAACAGCAACCAACCGACGGACCAATCGAGCAGCCATCGAGCCGACTAAACCCCACCCTAAAGCCTGTTGGGAAAAAGTCTCAGCCACCCCAGCACCCCCGAAAGTTCGAAATGAATCCAAACTCCCTGGGCACCGTGAGCTTGTAGAGCGGCTTTAGGGTTCATATTTTGCTTTGGTGGGAGGGGGGTTGATGGGAGACTCAGTTTTTCAGAATTTTCCAGAATTCAGCCGAGGTGAAAGATGGGGTGAAGATTAAGTCTAAACATCGAAGCCGCGGCGGTTTTTCGTAAGGTTCGGCAGTGCAGACCCAAGGTGGAATTGCACCCGCTCGGAATTGCCGGCAGCTACTGGTTCATGGGAGGAGCCCAGGACGTCGCGGCGCTCGGAGATCGGGGCATCAGGCAAGGGGAGTCGAACAATAGAGAGAGGCATAGCATAGCACATCGTTGGCACCTAAACCCCGAAACCCCCAAACCCCTACATAAACCAAACCCAAACCCCCAAACGCTCAGGCGCATGGCTTTCGGCTTTCCGGACTCAAAAGACCTCACTCGCTGGGTCACTGGGTTCTCGTTAAAGGGACTTGAATTAAATCACCATAACAAGGAAACCATAGTATTTACTATAGATCCCTATTATGGTACATTAAAATAACTTCAGTAACAAGAACCCAGGTCACCTGGACGCTTTGCGACGCTGACTTCTTCGGCTCCTGCAAACAACAGTGCCTGTTCCTAGGTAGTCCTCTGGGACATTTTTTTGTTTTCCCGTATTGGGCTTAAGAGATCTTACTGACGAGTATTTTTCAGAGGCTGTAAACGGGCCAACCAAGGTTCACCAATGCTGACGAATTGCCTACTCTGGAGCCCCTGATTGCAGCAGAGCAGGCCAAAGCAGGCCAGTGAGGCTGGGTAGTCTTACAAGTTCTGCATCATGCGGGCTGGTTTGGAGGTTGTTGGATCCTGCGGCATGTGCTGTACGCCCTTGTTTTTCGCCTCCAAATTCGCCCGCAACACTGCGGGACCTTCTCGATGTCATCCTGCTCGTAATTAGGTTTGTAAGTGATTTTATGTGATGTATGTGATGGGTTCCCCCTACACCCTTCCCCTAAACCTTTACTTTTTGGTCCGATAAATAGTCCCGCGAGTGTTCTGGGATGCTTACGTCCAGCTGGAAGATGCCAAACAGCATCCTGAAGCTTGGCCCTGGTGCGAGCGTGTGAAGCTGATATTCTAGGGCCTTAATGGTTTTAATAGGTTTTTGAGGTCCTTCATAGCATAAGGAACCCTAAGGACTAATGTTGGTAATTGTTTCGGCTTCCAGATGATCGTCGAGAGTCCTGAAACCACGCGGTTTTTTTCAGGTCCAGCCGGGTGCAGAAGCGCAAGAGGCAACAGACAAGTAATTTGCGCAGCGACGATGTTGACTTTTTGGCCTATAGAGCTGCGAGCTTCAAAAGCTCATGGAGCTCGATTTTCTTGAGTCTGATATGTCGTCGTCATCTCAGAGAAAAAAGGCTCAAGCCTTGGCCAGGTACGGTTTGTGGGAAATCCAAGCGACGGTCCCAAAGAATGGGTGCAACATAAGGCATCAGGGACGACGACGAAGACTGCTACTGGTTCCGGCTAGCACGACGAGTGCTGCTAATTACTACGACGACGACTACCACTGGGGTTGTCATGAGCAGTACAGAACCGTGCCGCAAGAACCGTACTGCTTATGTGAGTGAGTACGTGCCAGGTCTTGCCTGCCACTTGATGCTTGGAGGCCTCCGTTTCGGATTCACGGGAGGGACCATGCTGGATGCCGGCCTAACTGGTAAGCCAGGTACAGGAGCAAAGGGGAGACAGCGTTTGAAAAGGCCGAAGGCCGCAAGACGTGCGGGTGCAGCTGACAGCTGTATGTACAGATATGTCTCTGTGTGTGCAGAGTCAGGGTGACACGATGTCTTTTGATGTATTTGGCTTGGACGACTCGGTACTTTAGTTGTCGAAGTTCTTTATCTCTCATACCCTTGGGTGCCGAATGAACCGGGGGACATCGTTTCGCATGCCCTCGACCCGGCCCAAGTCTTGTAGCCTTGGGTCAGTCCTTGCAGACAGCTGCTATTCTTGACTTGTTTTCCCGCACTTGGTTTCGCTGCGAAACAAAGGAGGAGCCTCTGCCTCCGAGAATTCGTTTAGCTGCAGTTTGACATACGGCTGCATGCAGAAATATTGGACGGGTTGTCACAAGTATATAAAAACGTATGTGTGTGTATATATATATATATGTATATATATATATATATGTATGTATATAGATATATATATATATATATCTATCTGTCTATGTATACATATAATTAACTACAGAGATTGTGTGTTCACACCCCTTGGTCAGCAAGTATGGTACGGTCTGGTGAACTCGCAGTGTGTTGTGGGCTCGGCCAGTGATATGGCCAAGTTTCGTTCCTTTTCCAGGTCCGTGCAGGCGCCGTCACCCTGCGGGGGCGGCACTGTAATTTGCATGCTGTATTGCTGCATGCCGGGTATGCACGTGATGACGTGCATACCGTTCATGCCTACTGGGTATTGTGCTGCCGAAGTATTTGTGTTGAGATTCGCAAAGCATTGTGGTTGCTGCATATCACAGTACCCAGGATGTGCATCGACGCTGGGATGTAGAGTATGCGACCACTGCTTCCCGAAAGCAGTGTACCCGCGAGCCAGGCGAAGTAGTCCAATGCATGTCCCAATCGACAGCATGCAAAACTTGGGCTCCTCCTGGCTGCTGGCTGCTCATGCTGCTCCTCTCCACGTGTCATCTTGGGTTTCTGAGACTGCAGCCATGGCTCTCAGCTTGGACGGCAGTCTTCCAGCCTTCTTGCCGCGCGCAGAGAGAAAGCTTCACAAACCGCCGGTATCTTATTCCGAGCCAAGGTCGAGCCGTTGGCCTTGCCCTTGGCCCTGCTGGCCGGACCGTCGAGACAGGCCATCCCAGAGCTTTGCTTACTCAGCCTCTCGTAGATTCACTTGGAATTGGCTTCAGGACATGTGTCACTGGCAGTACTGGACGACATGTGTGGAGCTTGTCAGCATCATGGCTGCTGTTACTTCCGTTGAGCCGCCATCAGTATGATGATGTGTTCCTGTATTTCCTGTTGCCTGGGGCACCTGACATAGGTCTTTGTCATCGTGCAGCGGTCTCCGCGAGTTCATGCCGGCAGACATGCCGTCTTCGCGAGGCGGGGAGTTTGTCCTTCACCCTGTGCGGCTTGACTCAAAGTTGAACATCTGCCAGGGCTTCCCGGCGTCAGACTGGCAAAGCACTTCAGCTGAGCCGTGACATTGGACGGCTGACTCAGCCAGAAGAAATTCTGGCAGCTTGACAGCGAAGCGATAATTCAACCCATGGATGAGTCTTTGGGGGAACAGTGGACCCTTTCCAAGCTTCAGCCACATGCATCGCAGTCCGCAGTGTGCAGGCATTTGTGAAAGACCACGTGCATGAGTTCAGCTTCGTCCATGCGGTGTCTTGCTTCAGCCGATTGGGACGGATGAGTGGCCCGGTTTGAGATGACGTTGAGAAGAGCTCCAAAATGCCCAAGTAGCTTGTGATTGCAGACTTGCAGCGAGGAAGCACCTGTAGTAGTTCCAGGACAAAAGACTCGTCAAAGCTGGTCTGCTTCAGAGCCTTTCCAGAACCTTGTAGCGGCAATTGCAACCTGGATTAACTGGCACATGATGCGTTTCTGTTCGCTAAATCGATGTTGTTGTAGTTGATTGTTCCGCGAGCATCTTAGGACCAATTCAGTGAAAGGGGTGAGATGGATGCAGAAGCCTTGCGAGCCACCCTCGTGGCGGCGGTCTACCTGGCGACTTTGACTTGCTGCTTCTAGTTGACCCTGCCTAGCGGCCTAGCCTTTCCTTTGCTCCTTGTACTGTGAGGCGAATGGAGACACAGTGCGACGGATGGTGTCGAAATGCGCTACAGCATTACTGACGAAGCTTCCGGCACGGTTCTGAGACAAAAGCAGTTCGCTGTGCGCAGCGTAAGCATGCAAGGTGCTTGCCGGAGTCCGGAGCACCCAATCACAGGTATGACAAGTCAAGAGTCAAACAGTTTCGACTTTCGACTTCTCGCATGTTTTCGCGACTTTCACGCGGCGGAGCTTGGAAGCATGTCCGAAGGCGCAGTGAGTGAGTGAGTTTTCGCGACGTTTCGGATTTCGCATTTTGTCGTTTGTGCCTTGTGTGTCGATTTTTCGGACATTTTCGGGTTTTGCGTCCTCTGGAAGCGAGTTTGCTGCACTGACACGTGAGGCGTCACGGGGTCAAGGGAACAAGAGCCGTGGCATAACCACACGGAATTCCCATTAACAACCCTGAACTTTCAACAAGCTGCACAGTTTGGAGCTTCAAGGGCAGTTTAGGGTTTAGGGGTGGGTTTGGGGTTTGCAGGTTTTAAGGCCATGTAAGAAAGTCGAGACTTGAATTTTGTTTTGGCACTTTCCGAAGGGCGCCAAAGCTAAAGCCTACACCCAAAAGCAGCTGGAACGAGAGTCAGGAACTTATCGTAGCTTGCTTGATTCTTATAGGTTTCGCGGCTTTTCAGGAGTTTTTTGATTTGTCGGGATTTCCAATCTGTTCGATCGAGCCTTAATATCTACTTCGGCTTGTCGAGTTTACTACCATTTTTGAGTGCTGTTTGGGCATGTGGTCCTGTAGGTTTGGGGTTTGCGCGCACTCTTAGCATTCAAATCCCAGCCCTGCGAATCGACTTGACATGATATCCAAGCGATGTTGAGTGCCTGTAGCACTCAGGCGGGTTTGCAGCATCGCAGCAGTACGGGCTATAAGGTTGACCACAGCATGCAATAGCTCTCGCATGCTCCAAGCTGACCGTCAGGACAGGTGGGGCAGCCTGTAATTTTTGGGGAATCAGTACAGATTGCTGCTATCACAACTAGAGAGCTCGTGACCACGCCCGATGCACCAGCGGCAAACTGGGACGCATGGCTGAGGCAGCAAGCTTGCCAGAGCTGGCAAACAGCGCCTGGGCTCTCGGGAAGCTGGAGCACTGCAACGAGAAGCTGCTGCGGGGCACCTTGTAACAAGAGTTTCTCGAGAAGCCGAAGTACCTAGAACGACCTCGCGGTAGCTCAGCTCGGCTTTTTGCAGGTATCTCATCGGAGGTGCTTAGAAAACTGGCAGTTGGACAGGCAGGCTTTTTGCTTTTTACTCTGTCGGGATCTGGAATCACACAGCTTGTCCTGTGCAGGCGATGAGTGTCCGGGACGTGCAGAGACTCAGACCATTTCATGACTGTTGCAGGCTTGCATCTTAAACGATGCGAAATGACACCTGCTCCTGTCATAGACAAGGAAGCTGGTGGTCGCACTGGCAGCCTTTGGTTGGCACGAGGATCCATCGCTCTTCCGCTGCTTGAGTGCTGAAGTGCAGATGCAAAGCAACGATACTTGACCTCGCAAGATGTGACTTCACCCGACTCTGCTTCACAAATGTTGATCAGTGGAGTGCTCTGGGAAGTGCCTAGGATCTGTCAGCGGTGGATGCAAGCGTCATAGCCTTCTCCTTTGCACGACTTGGTCCATGGCCTGGTTGTCCCTGGCAGTGTTTTGGGCAAGTGTCCATTCAAGATGCAAAGGGCGCATGCATTCGCTCCTGTCATTCTGCGCTACTTAGGCGTGCAAGATTCAGCGCTTTTTCGAGTTCTCTCCCAACACGTACAAGATCGCCTGCTTGTTGACCTCAACGCGCAGGGGATAGCGAAGGTAGCCTACTCGTTTGCAGGCCTGGCTGTGCTTGTCGGGGTCTTCGTTCCTTCGCTGGCATTGCCCTGCTCAGTTTTGGGCCACGCTGCCGACGAGCCTCGGCTCTTCCGGGCGTTGGCCGCTGAGTCC